TGCCAAAGTCACATTGCCTATCAATTTACACTCCGATCTGACAAGTTTGAGTGTTTCCCGAAAATACACCAGTCTGTTAGCTGTTTTGGCTGTATTTTGGCCACTATTTTGGAGTGAAAAAAGTTTTTGGATCGGTCTCAGACCTTGGCCATTCAAGTTTCTTGTCGATTAACGAGGTCTGAACCAGTCAATTTTCGCTTTAACGAACCTGTTATCGGTCATGTTTGGAGCCCCCAAACACCCCGTTAGAAATGTCTGCAATCTTTATTTTACTTCCAACCTCTTTGCAATGCCAAAGTCACATTGCCTATCAATTTACACTCCGATCTGACAAGTTTGAGTGTTTGCCGAAAATACACCAGTCTGTTAGCCGTTTTGGCTGTATTTTGGCCACTATTTTGGAGTGAAATAAGTTTTTGGATCGGTCTCAGACCTTGGCCATTCAAGTTTCTTGTCGATTAACGAGGTCTGAACCAGTTATTTTCGATTTCACGATGTCTGCAATCTTTTTTAATACTTCCAACCTCTTTGCAATGCCAAAGTCACATTGCCTATCAATTTACACTCCGATCTGACAAGTTTGAGTGTTTCCCGAAAATACACCAGTCTGTTAGCCGTTTTGGCTGTATTTTGGCCACTATTTTGGAGTGAAATAAGTTGTCGGATCGGTCTCAGACCTTGGCCATTCAAGTTTCTTGTCGATTAACGAGGTCTGAACCAGTCAATTTTCGCTTTAACGAACCTGTTATCGGTCATGTTTGGAGCCCCCAAACACCCCGTTAGAAATGTCTGCAATCTTTATTTTACTTCCAACCTCTTTGAAATGCCAAAGTCTACCTGCCTATCAATTTCATTCTGTTGTGACAAGTTTGAGTGTTTGCCTAAAAGTCAGCGATCTGTTAGCCATTTTGGCTGTATTTTGGCCACTTTTGTGGACTGAAATAAGTTGTCGGATCGGTCTCAGACCATGGCCATTCAAGTTTCTTGTCGATTAACGAGGTCTGAACCAGTCATTTTTCGCTTTAACGAACCTGTTGTCGGTCATGTTTGGAGCCCCCAAACACCCCTTTAGAAATGTCTGCAATCTTTATTTTACTTCCAACATCTTTGCAATGCCAAAGTCACATTGCCTATCAATTTACACTCCGATCTGACAAGTTTGAGTGTTTGCCGAAAATACACCAGTCTGTTAATACTTTTGGCTGTATTTTGGCCACTATTTTGGAGTGAAATAAGTTGTCGGATCAGCTCAGACCTTGGCCATTCAAGTTTCTTGTCGATTAACGAGGTCTGAACCAGTCAATTTTCACTTTAACGAACCTGTTATCGGTCATGTTTGGTGCCCCTAAACACCCCGTTAGAAATGTCTGCAATCTTTATTTTACTTCCAACCTCTTTGCAATGCCAAAGTCAACCTGCCTATCAATTTTCATTCCGTTCCGAGAAGTTTAAGTGTTTGCCGAAAAGACAGCATTCTGTGAGCCGTTTTGGCTGTATTTTGGCCACCTTTTTGGAGTTATTGTCAGATTGATCTCAGACCTTGGCCATTCAAGTTTCTTATCAGCTAAGAAGGTCTGAACCGGTCATTTGTTGCTTTCGCGCACCTGTTATCGGCCATGTTCACAGCCTCCAACACCCCATTAGAAATGTCTGAAATCTAGTTTAATGCTTCCAACCTCTTTGCAATGCCAAAGTCAACCTGCCTATGAGATAACACTCTGATCTGACAAGTTTGAGTGTTTGCCAAAAAGACAGCGATCTGTTAGCTGTATTTTGGCCACCATTTTGGAGTGAAATAAGTTGTTGGATTGGTCTCAGACCTTGGCCATTCAACCTCTTTGAAATGCCAAAGTCTACCTGCCTATCAATTTTCAATCCGTTCTGACAAGTTTGAGTAGTTGGATGGGTGACCATGCTAAGCAGCTTGACTCCTAGATTTCTAGGGCTTCGGTCCTGCGCCACACTGAAGCACATGTACCACATGTGATGTCTCCTTAGGCAAGTGACTTTGTTCAAAATGTGCCTCTGTTTACCCAGCAGTGAGTGGGTACCCAGTATGATGAGATGGTAATATGGGTGTTAACTTTCTGGCACCTCACAGGCAGCTTGCGTTGTATACTCCCCAGGGAGATGAGAATGAAAATCAAGTGCTCACTGATCCATTGACCGGGGTAATAATAGTGTAGCGCTTTGAGCATCCACTTAATGAATGGAATCTGGAGCATTATAAATGCACTTATTATTTTTCGCTTTCATGAACCTCTTATCAACCATGTTCGGAGCCCCGTTAGAAATGCCAGCAATTGTTTTTTTACTACCAACCCCTTCGCAATGTAAAAAAGTTTACCTGCCAATAAATTTTCCCTCCATTCGGACCATTTTTAGTTTTTGCTGAAAAGACAGCTATCTGTTAGCCGTTTTGGCTGCATTGGGCCACCATTTAGGAGCGAGATAAGAAGTTGTCGGATCAGTCTCACGCTCTGGGCATGGAAGTTTCTTGTCGAATTACAAGGTCTTGTCGAATTACAAGGTCTGAGCCAGTCATTTTTTGCTTTTGCGCAACTCTTATCGGCCATGTTTGAAGCCCCATCATTGATGCTCATGATATTAATCACTGGACTGTCTGGTCCAGACTCGATTATTTATGAATGCTGTCGTATAGCTGGAATATTGTTGAGTGCGGCGTTAAACAACAAACAAACCAATCTTAGCCTTGGTCAGTGCCACGCCTATCTCAGTGAAGATCTTTTAGATGTGTTGGCCCACTTTTCTTATCTTTATTGCAGGAAGTGTCTCTGCACTTTGTGCAGATATAATGAGGATCTCATATGAACGACCACACTTCTTGCACCCGGGGCTAGAGGGAGACTCCAGTCTGACCTCACAAGCACCAGCTATGCTTAGGTGCTATACTCCAGCAGCAACTACCGGTATTGATATGTACTTAATGTCTGTTATTATAGAAAACTATTAGAATAATCTGAGAATAATGTGACTTAGTACCAAGTGCTAGATTTTTACAACTATTACAATAGCACACACAAGAAAAAAGTGAGGTTCCCGCCATTGCAAACGTCACAGCTTGGGTGTTACGATGCTACCTGGGAACAATGAATTGTATGTGATTGACAGTGGTGTAACAGAGGTAGAAGTTTCGTAATGATTTTATTGTTTCATGGTTGTGTTGTCAGACACCAGTAACAAAACGTTCTCACCCCGTAACCAGTGTCTTGGATCTTTGTTTACCTTCACGTACTAAGGCAGAAACAGTGGCCTCAGAATTCCCAAGCTGTGCTGTATCACACATGGTTAACAAAAGCAGTGTTTGTTTGCTTGTTGTTTAACACTGCTATCAGCAATATTCCAGCTATACAACGGCTCTCTGTAAGTAAAAGAGTCTGGACCAGACAATCCAGTGATTGACATGTGCATTGATCCACACAATTGGAATCGATGACATGCATCAACCAAGTCAGCAAGCCTGACCACCCGATCCCGTTAGTTGCCTTTTACGACAAGCATAGTCGCCTTAACGGAAAGCATGGGTTGCTGAAGACCTATTCTACTGTAGCCCAGATCTTCACGGGTATCCGCCCACTGAGAGTGTGGTAGTTCCTACCGAAATGCTGTTTTAAGTGACAAACATGCTCACTTGAGACTTGGCACAGTCAGTATATATGCAATTTAGGAGAACTTCACACTCAATAAAGACAACCATTTATTTGACCTTTTTTTAATGCGTTCATTTACATTTCATTCATATTCTGGAAGGGTACAGCATCTGAAACACACAAAAATTTAACATCTTAAAACAAGGTGAGGTGACAATGAATCAAAGAATCCATTCTGATGCACATACAATCACCCATTTCCATAGCTTCCTTGATCAAACAATGATTTCAGTGGTAACAAAATCAAATATTTTTTCCCTTCCAAGATTTGGAGATACAAAGCGTAAGTTCAATTTGTTACCATAAATTTGTAAGATGTATGGACATTGCAATTCCATATCAAACACAGATACAAAGGGCAAGAAACATCATATACATATACTCACACAAAACAAATAATGAAATGTATTTGTAACAGATGGTTGGTTGGTTGTTTATCGCCGCACTCAGCAATATTCCAGCTATATGACGGCGGTCTGTAAATAATCGACTCTGGACCAGACAATCCAGTGATTAATATCATGAGCATCGATCCACGCAATTGGGATTGATGACATGCATCAACCAAGTCAGTGAGCCTGACCACCCGATCCCGTTGGTCACCTTTTACGGCAAGTATGGGTTGCTGAAGACCTATTCTGTCCCGGAATCTTCATGGGTCCTGTCACAGTTTGAGATGTACATAGATGAATGTTTTATCTCTCCATCTGTGTGTTATGAACAACCTCTTTTGGAAGATCAGGATGTGTTCTATATTATAAAATTTATATGTATATATATATATATATATATTGGTAAAATTTGTATATATATCTCTATATCTCTCTATATATATATCTCTATATATATAAGTAATAATTAAATAAGAGCAGTAAGATTGAAGACAAGTCTTTATTGGCCAGCTCTTTCAACTCATGTCATGTACGAGTCAAACATGAAGTTGCAACATATAGTTACATGACCTCATAACATTTAGGAGAACTATGAAGTCACAAAACCAAGGTGACAATGGCCAAATAACTTAAGACTTTACATTTAACTTAGGCGCATATTTATGAATGAAATGTTGCTCTTTTTGAAATAATGTAGGTTCATGATCAAAATTTAGCTTATATAGCGGGAAAACTAAAAAGTTGCTGCTTCCACATGTACCTAAATGTTCACTGAGTGGAATCATGTGGTTGTGTGGCTGCTTTATTTGTGAACGGTGAAGATTCATTCTTCTTTTTAATTTAAGTTCTGTCTTTCCGATATACTTTTCATTGCATCCACTACAAACAATCAAGTAAATAACATTTCTAGTATCACAAGTCATATTTTGTTTTACAGTAAATTTATAGTCCTTTGTAATCTGGACTGAACAGCCTTATTAGAGCGCTGCAAGTAAGGCAACGTTTGTCACCGCACTTGTGGAGTGATGACAACAGAATCAAATTTAGAACTTTGGCTGTTAAGTTCAGCAAGGCGGGTAGTTTTAACATCATTCCCGGAAACAATGGTACAAATACAAATATTGGTGCGTATCAGTATCTTTATAAAAGATACCAGTTCGTACAAATCTCCCAGATATTAAATTGATTATTATATCGAGAAAGGTTAAAACTAGATTCGCCTTTTTCCATTGCGAAATTGAGCGACACATTAAGCGAATTTAGAATTATGAATAGCTGCAAGTTGACTTTCACTGGTTTTTAATATGATAAAACAGTTGTATCTCTCACCTTATCATAAAACATCTCTAAAAATCCCCAAACAAGAGTTGCATAAGTAGGGGCTACCTGAGTGGCCATGGCTTACAACTTTTTTTGTGAATAATAAGATCCATCAAAATAAAAAATGTTATTGGTAATAACCAACTTCAATGCATCAATGATAAACTCATCATCTCGTCATCTCTTTTCAACTTTCAATAGAAATAACTTCACAATTTTGATCATTAATTTCCTTTTGAATACATTTACTTTTATGTACTTTGGGCAGGCCATAAAAATTAGTGGTCTTAGAAAAAGGTTCAAATCGGTAAGATCGTCCTTTTCTTTGTCTAGAATTTCGTTATGATACTAATCTAACAATTTCTTAACCTTATTCTGGACAGATTTTTCTACTCTTTTACTAGAATTGCTATAATATTGATCATTTAAAAATGGACAATTATCTTTCTTTGATAATTTTTTTTATTCATAATAACAATATCACCTCCCTTATCGGCTTCTTTAATAACGATGTCTGTATTATTTTTAAGATTAGTAAGGCCTTTCAATACACATTCACATAAGTTTTGGTTTGTTTGTTTTACATGAATACAAGCACTATTTCAGCTTTGTTTATTCACACAATTCAATCCAGACAAAATGCAAAAATATCAAGTAAATCTATGTCCATCCAATCCTAATCATAAATAATCAACAAAGGTTCGAAATTACCTTCATTTCAGAGGCAAATGTAATATGGTTACAATAAAAAAGGCTGTTAAATAGGTTTAAAACTAGAATGTTTCCCCCTCCTGTTTATTTTTTATATACATTAGTTCAAGTAGTTACTACAAATGTATTTGCATATACAAAAAAAAGGATTATCAGCCCACAAATACTAGTACAGATCATGATTAAAGCATTTATAAAGCAGCATTAAAGTTGACACCATGTTGACACTTTATGGTAGATTTAAGACAATTGAAAGGGTTACAGCAGTTTGGATGACAGATTTAATTTGTATTGTGAAAGTAGATGTACCCATAATGAAAAATCAGTAGCTTTATGCATAGCAGAAATACTCTTAAGAATTTCCAAATGGTTTCCATGGAAACAAAAGAAATTTAACAAGAGTCATTAGAAGATGACATATCACCCCTGGTCCCCATTACTTAAATAAAAGCCCAATTGGCCATCCAAACATCGAACACAAAACCTAAAGGATGGGCTAATTTACAAATGGCAGGAATTCAAATGTTAGTATTCTTTAGATATTGGAGTGACCATACGGTGAGAGATGGGCTTATACACAAATTTTATGGCATGTCGCATTGGTGTTAGAACAGCTTATTTGAAATTTGCAACAAGCTGTAATGTCAAAAGTAGTAGATATATGTAGGCAGCATTTCTCACTCAATGTTTATCCTACAGTAATAGATACGTTGACATGAAAAAAGAAATGACACAACTTGATCACAGAATCTTTATTTTCCTTGAAACTCAGTCTAAAAAAATAGCAATAGGAACCATTTTCAGATGTTTGTCCTGAGATAATACTTCATGACAGCAACTGTCAATTTGAAGGAAAAAAATAATCACACAACCCGATTAGATTTTATTTTATTTTATTTTATTTTATTTGAAACACATTTTCAATGTCTCGATAAAGATATTTAAAGGCTTTCAAATTCTGTTCTCACAAAAACACCAAGGCCATTTCAGATTAAGTCCAATTTGTCTCCATGGAATCAGGGGGAAAATTTTCCTAAGCATTTCAAAATAAAGATACCATTTAAGGTTATGATTGATAAACCTTGTCATGTTTTGTTAATGTCTTTGGTTAGTTTGTTGTCTAAAATGACCATAAAAGTCCAGTTTCCACCCTTGCCAAAATAGGCTGCAATTATGGAGTTATATTTGACTGGACTAACGAGTCTATGCATAGTCTAATCCAAATCGTGTAACAAACAAGACATCTGGTTCGTAAACAACATGGATTTCAACGTGCAGATTTCGGCCGACTGCAGGATTTGCAGAGCATGTGTACCGCCAACTGGGAGTCGACAGATGTTCAGCAAATTCTTTCATGTTTTTAATCAACATGCTCATGTGAGTTGATGCTCTTCACAGGGTAAGACCAGAGATCTTGATTATCAAGCAGATCGTCTCGACTGAGCGCCGCAAATTTTGTTGGAAGCAAATGTAAGAGACATGAGAGATGGAATCTGATCTATCGGAGGAACATAGAAGTTTTCAACTCATAATAGCCACTGGTGGCGCTACGATCAGGACTGGAAATTGGACTTTTAAAGTCACTTAACACCTTTGCCTCAGGCAGATGCTCGCCTTTTATGGCAAGCATGGGTTGCTTGAGACCCATTATAAACCCAAGATCTTCACGGAATACTTACAACTGAGAAGAAAAGAAATCATAATAATGTCATAAAAATGTGCTTTAGCCGAGAAGTCTTCCAAAACGAAACCACTTAAGCGAGCATTTTCGGATGTTCAGAATGATTTGGTCCACTCAACTGCTGAGAAATTAAACTTTTCATGGGGAAAACTGTTCTAGTCCATTCAGCAGCTATGAGTGAATATTTACCAAACGTTCCCTTTGAAAATATTATAATTACTGAAACTATTGGCTTGTGTTTCAATGCGAACCTCATCATGACACAAAAAAGCTATACGATATCATGTCATAAATACTTTAACATTCATTTCTTGTGACAATCATCTTAAAAGTAAAATGATTAATTTTCATTGGAAATCATGATACTGACATGAACAGATTTGTTAGTTTTATACACATTTAAGTTTTTTTTTACATTGAAAATATTCCAAATATCAACAGGTGATAAATATTTCTTGCTCTATAAAAAGCTTAATCTTAAAACAGTAACCTGATAAATTAGAAAGTAAGAGATGATTACAAATCTTCTAAAAAGTTATATAGTTTTTCCAGATCTGTGCTGAGGGAAGTGTGGAAATTGAGATCATCATAACTTGGTTCTCTGCTAACCTTTCTATCCAGACTTCAGATAATTGCTGTTTGGAAGCTGATCTATATTGGTAATAACATCGACTTACAGAAAAACGTAAAACATTTTCTTATAGTTATGGTGTCCACATCTGTAATTAGTGGTTTTATTTTATTAAAGGCAATGAGAGATGAAGACTATGAAATTCTGATACATATTTTGTATAAATACAGTAGATGCATAAAATGCAACATACAAAGTTGTAGTGATCATAAGAACATTCTCCTCATGATGACTGCTTGCTGCTCCAGTAGTACACATCAAGAACTGATAACAAGGAGCAGGTAGTGTACTCTATCAAGTACAGGATAACTGGAAGCAGTCCGTGAATTTACCCACTTTTAATCCAATGACTGGGCAAAAAGCAAATTTGACAATTGAGACATCAAATTCAATTTAAGTGAAGTTTCTTCTTTTGATGATCAAGTTGCTTTTTAACCCAGGTCCACTTGATGAAGGTCATTGATCTATCCTACAAAATACATTGAAAGTAATAAAAACATATTTTAACCTTCTCTGAATATCCTCTCTGACAACTTTCAAATGCTACATTATGACTGTCCTTATAGCTGCAACAATTGATGCGAGTTCCTCAGAAACAATGGCAAATTTTTTTATTTGGCCATGTTATTCATTTGGAATGCAGTCATTACTATAGGGAAAATAAACTGATAAAGATTGCCCATTGTATTTTGAGTGAGTGAGTATGGTTTTACACAGCTTTTAGCAATATTCCAGCAATAACACGGCGGGGGAGACCAGAAATGGGCTTCACACATTGTACCCATGTCGGGAATAGAGCCCAGGTCTTCAGCGTGACGAGCGAACACTTTAAAATCACTAGGCTAACCGACCGCCCCTCATTGTATTTTGATATTCGTTAATTGTGATGGAATGAAAGTAAGTAGTTTCACTGTAGAATAAAAAAGAAAAGTGTGAAGAAAAAAAACCCTGTTTTCTTTAAATTTGTCATCTAGTTGTCAGTTATTTTTCTCACACCAAGGGCAGATAACTCTAAATCGCAGACTAACCTCTGTTTAAGGTCCAATTTCTAAAAGCCATTTTAGTTTGAAAACTACCAAAAAATGATTTTTCAAGTAAATGAATGATTATATAGAGCTAATATTCCCATACTTCATGAAAATATATATACTAGTATCACTTTTGGCATACGTTTGAAAATGAGCAAATTTCAACTTACCGCTGACTGAGAGGTCAAGGTGATGTACCATGCTGGAACTTTTACAAAACTTGCTCACTGATCTTGTCGGTTCTTGGTTCTAAAATGTAGCGGGTTGTTTACCATTGTTAGGTAGTTAGAACTATCCGGATTTCCACTTGTGTGCCCCTTGACGAAATGCCTACTGCACACTTGCCACTGTGACCCGTCTTCAGCAACCCATGCTTGTCATAAGAGGCGACTAACGGGATCGGATGGTCAGGCTTGCTGACTTGGGTGATGCATGTCATCGGTCCCAGTTGCATGGATCGATGCTCATGATGTAAATCACTGAATTGTCTGGTCCAGACTCGATTATTTAGAAACTGCCGTCACATAGCTGGAATATTGCCGAGTGTGGCGTTAACAGACAAACAATTGCCACCTGTTACCATCGTTATTCACACGAATGATAGCCTCAAAAAACCTCTTCGTCACCATTCAGGTTTCTTTGGAATGGCATATGCTATGTATAGGCTATGTATCCTGCGGGTGTCCCTTGCATTGAACAAAATGGAACTTAGCATACTCCAATGGTGACCCACATAACTAGTTTCATATTGAGAGCACCGTTCACCTGGGCAAGTGGTGGTACACGAGGGTAGAAATTAGGTCAGAGCCATGCTTTTAAAGCTCTTTCCAACAGGTAATCATGAATAAAGTTTATACCTCTCACCATATTGTACACACAAGCATTTTGAGGCCTGGATTACACTCCGTGACCTTGATGTTTAATATCCAATGAAATGTCAGAAAATTTCCCAGGGACATATAAAAGGCATATCAGGTTTGAAGTCAAATGTGAAAATAAATAATTCAGGGATCAAAATTAAATTTATTTCAAGTGTGCCAATGGGCACAGTTATGCCAAATTAAGTGTGCCATCACATTATTAGGTGTGCTAAGAAACACATCATTGGCTTCTATTCTAAACTGTTTTAATAGTTCATCATAATTCAAGTTACTCATTTTTAGTTACTCATTGCCTTTGAATCTTAGTTAAAAACTGCAATACCGATTATAATAGTCTCAAGATTTAAGAGCTACTGTTCACAACTGGTAGTAGCCACATAAGCACTGATCAGTTACAGTTGTAGCTGTTCTGTGTCCATAGGGTGTGGTCCCTCTTCCCCTCTGTATGCACTGAGTCACATTTATCAACTTTGACAGTGTCTGGGATTTCAGCCTATCTGCTTGTAAAACATCTGATCTTTGCTACTACACGTTATACACCATTTGAACGGTCTAAACCTACCGTTTATTTAAATAATGCATTTACAACTAAATTATGTGTGTTGTAAATAAGACTAATACAACCACATTCATAACGTCCAGGTTGAGGACCAAGGAAGCGAAAACTTGACGATTTTCGGCAAATATGAGATTTCATTAAATCCACTCACCTATTTGTTTTAACTTTTTTCTTCTTGTTTAAGTAATCGGAAAATTATTTATAAAAAATTAGAGCAGGGGAGGCAGTACACAGACACATACCAATCATTGCAATACAACACACAAACTTATTGTTGGATTAGAACGGAAAATAATATCTTTCATCATCATTTTCCTGATAACAGCATCTGTCCACTCAGTGGCATGAAGAAATATCTCTGTTTTCAAAGCTTCACATTAATAACATGTGCCACGTGACACACCATTATCTACAAAGCTTATTTTGTCATCAATGCGACAGTAAATACGCCTAGAGTCTTTATATTACTGTAACATGCGATTTGATTGGTTTCTAAAGACGCTTTCCTGCCGAAATCTGCTACAAGATTCGTGATTGGTCAAATTTGAGCACGTGACCTAAGGCAGCCAATCAAATTACATCAATGGTACCGTGAATTTCAGATTTTAACGAAAGGTTTTTGTTAAATCCTGTTATTCTGAACGTTTTAAGCAGGAAATTAGGAACTATATAATATGAAACTTCATGGATGTATTGTGCTAGGTTACGAGTTGTGACAGATTTTTCATGCATATTTTTTGGCATTAAACATTGTCTGTGCGGAGAGTGAGTGAGTGAGTTAATATTTAACGTCACATCGGCAATATTTCAGCCATATCGTGAGTCTGTGCGGAGAAATTGAGGCGGCAAAAGCCAAGATGTCATTTAACTTGCATTACATGCGATCGCACGAAAAGATGGAAATAATAACTCAGGTGTAAGTTTGACAACTTTTAGATATATTTTTGTTGATTTTATTTCTTTCTTTGTATGATATACTTAAAGATTTGATTGACACGTTTTTATTTTGCTCTTTGAATTGTTCGATGTGGACCCATTGTCGAGGAGTGTGTCAGAGAATTTTATTTTCAATAACATTGCAGGAAAAAGATCTAGTGAATAATCTTTTAATCTATCGATAAAAAATAATGAATTAAAATCAAATACGTATTTCAGACATTGTGTAACATGACAGATGTAATGAATGAATGATATCACAGGTAGGTTCATAAAGTCTATTTTGACGTGATTACAACTGCTGTGTCTGGGGACTCAGTTTTGAAAGACTTCAGTCGTGTTGATCATTGTTTTCCAGGAAGGAAATTCAGGTTTGTTTTTGCACATATTTATAAAAATTATTTTTACATACAAGTCATGATTATCAACAGAAATACTCGTCAGTCACTTTCATCAATAAATTAAGTGTGCCAAAGGGGCACGCAGGTTAGGAATTAGAATTTAGGTGTGCCTTTGGCATGATGGCACTAATAATTTCGAACCCTGTAATTCGAACCAAAACGTAATTATTCCTTTGGGCAGAGAGACAGCAGTCACAATGTGACTAAACCTCAACAGAGTTGTGTTTCATGGGGCTGCAAATTAACATATTACACATACCACTCTAACTCTTTTGCCCATGGCTTTTGAGGGCAAATTCTTCCTGAACTGTGCACGAACAGCACCACTGTTACCATGGGACCGAGTTATTTTCCCCCAGATGACACGAATCTTGTTAGGTCTTGTCGGCTGAGCAGGACAGGCAGTTTTGCTGAAAACAAATTTGAAAACTAACAGATTTGACAGAGCTAGATATGGTTACTTATCCTGGATAATTGGAAGAAATAAGCAGTGGACAAAACTTAACTCATGGTGGCTATCCCTGCAGGAATGGAATTTTAGCTAACACTTTGGATATTGTGGGAAATTAATATTGTCTTGGTTGTATTTGTTATACATTTAGATACACCTATTAAGAGGGACCATCCTTTGACGTTTTGAATATCTGCAAAATAATTTTTTCAAGTCATCAGGTGGTGTGGTTCAACTCATTTTCAAGATTACTTTCACCGATATCGTTATATGCATATGCCTTCTTGTCCGGACCAATGCTGGTTTTGTAGTGGTAGTCCACTGGACCCGTGAAGATTCCGGGGTAGAATAGGTCTTCAGCAACCCATGCTTGCCGTAAAAGGAGACTATGCTTGTCGTAAAAGGCGACAAACAGGATCGGGTGGTCAGGCTCGCTGACTTGGTTAATTCATGTCATCGATCCCAATGGCGTGGATTGATGCTCAGGATATTAATCACTGGATTGTCTGGACCAGACTCGATTATTTACAGAGCGCCATCATTTAGCTGGAATATTGGTGAGTGCGGCGTTAACAAACAAACCAAACCAAGGTAGTCCACTGAGCCGTCATGCCACAGGTTTAACATTGATATCTCAATTACAGTATACCAACTCTAAGCCGACCAATCCTTATCTATCCCCTTAAAAGTGGCGAACCGAACACAAGTCAAAAATCATATTTTCTTCTTTTGATATGATGCAGCCAGGATTGAACACCCGCTGACCATATCCTCTCAAGGCAGACACTATCCACTAGGCCACAGAGAAGGTTATCAGACTCATGAAGTGAAACTTCTTCAGAGTTTTGTAAATATATCAAGAATATATACTCAACAACAAAAGTTCCTGTGACACCAATATTTTAGTGTATTTTTCAAACAAGTAAAGTTTGGTTTTCAATATTGTAGTACATGTATGGAAACATGTCACAAAAACACAACTGCTACAGAAAGGCATGCATTCCATACAAAAGTCGACATTTATGCAAGCCCCATGTATTTCACTACCTGAGACTGGGTATAAAAACATGTGCCTTAACAGGATTCCATATGCATTGTTTAGCATCGTGCTGACAACAACCACTCAGAAAAACAACAAAATGAGCCTCTGGGAGCCATTGGTATGCTTGAAGCAGGAACGAGTCAATGTGATGTTGCAAGACAATTTTATGTCCACAGAAAGACCATTTGGTGTTTATGGCAACATTGGCAATAGACGAATGCAGTCAGAGGCCACGCGTAACAAATAATTGACAAGACAATTTTGACAGGAAACCACCGTCAAGCGAGTCTACAGTGGTGCAGACAGCGTCTACGCTTGACGGCCATGCAGTGGGGACAGGTTCTATTCACTGACGAGTTGTTTCCACCTCAGCCACAGCGATGGACGGATTCGAGTGTACCGACGTCGCGGTGAACGTTACGTCAATCATTGTGTCATGGAAGAAGATCGGGGAGGCAACGTTTTGGTATGGGGTGGGATTACAGCAAGACAGATGACCTGTTTGATAGTGGTAGAGGGAAATCTCAATGGACAGAGCTACTGCGACGAGATCATCGGCCCTGTTGTTCTATCATTTTTGCGTCGTCATGGCCCAGGCATGCATTACCTTTTAACATGACAACGCCCGGCCTCATATTGCTCGACTTACGGATTCTCTTCAACAAAACATCGTCATCCCCTTGCCGTCTCGCTCCCCTTATCTCTCTCCAATCGAGCACATGTGGGATGAGATGGATCGGCGCCTTCGAGGCCACCATGTAATATTCTCAGGTTGTTGTATCAGCTGATAACTGCGTAACGAACGCGGAATTGGTTAATCACTGTTTACTGATATACTAAGAGACGTCTGTACAGGCTGACGGCTTACTGGGACTCCATGTTCTGCAAATATACTCTTAGTAGCTGTGATTACAGCAATACTTGTGCAGGGCTTTGGTAACTTTCTTATGACCGGAAACTTTGAGTATAGTCTGCGACGATAAGAAACTCGATGTTATCATGATGAAATAGGTCTGTACCTACTATCTGCCATGGTCTTGTTGGGATCTCATGAAGCATCAGGGTTTCTTTAGCTTGTGAGTCTTGATGGCTTTGGCATGTAGGGCATGATTTTACAGCTTGATCAATATCTTTGTTTATTCCATCCCAGAATACACATAATCTGGCTCTCAACTTGCACTTGGTTGCACCTTGGTGACCTGCATGTATCTTCTGTAGTACTTCATGTTGCATTTCTTGGGGAATTATGACTCTCTCTCCTTTAAGGATGAGGCCATCTTCAACTGATAATTCGTCTCTGTAACACCAGTACAGGCGGATTGGTCCTGGTATTTCTTTGAATGTGCTAGGCCATCCTTCAACAATCATGTCACTTAGTTTGCTGAGCGTTTGGTCTTGACTTGTGCATGACTTTAGCGTTGTTAGCTTGTCTGATGAAAACTGTATTGGGCTAACCTTGACGTCCAAGTGAATTTCTCTTGTATTCTTATTGTTTGGTAGTCTTGATAGCCCATCAGCCAGTGTCATTTCTTTTCCTGGTCTGTATCTGATTTTGACATCATAGTTTTGGAGACGTAGAAGCATTCTCTGTAATCTTGGTGGGGCTGCAGTCAAGTTCTTCAGCTTGATCATTTCTAAGGGTTTGTGGTCTGTCTCTATAATAAATGGCTTTCCATACACATATGTATGGAATCTTTCACATCCAAATACAACTGCCAATAATTCCCTTTCAAAGTTGGCATATCGTTGTTCAGTGTCAGTCAGACTCTTTGATGCGAATGCTATTGGTTTTCCGTCTTGTGTTAATGCTGCTCCAAGTCCGCGTAAGGATGCATCAACTTGGATCACTGTCTCTTTGCTTGGATTAAAGTAGCTCAGGGTGCCTTCTTAGCATATGAGAGATTTGATTCTCTCGAAGTCTTTGTCATGGGATTCGGACCAGCAGAATTCTGAGTCCTTCTTGATTAAGTCAAGACAATGTGTTGTGACAATTTTAGTACAAATGGTCCCATGTAATTTACTATGCCAAGGAATTCTTTTGGGGTCTGTGGTGTCTTGATTGACTTTATGTCTTCAACTTTCTTTGGGTCTGGGTGAGCTCCTCTCTCATCATATACCATGCCAAAAAAGCTGATCTTCTTTACTTTGATTTCACACTTTTGGCTGTTGAATACAAGTCCATGTTCTTTAGCTGTCTTCATGAGGTTGTCAAGATTGGCATCATGCTCTTCTGTTTTGCCGTGAACGGCGACATCATCTGATATTCCAAGTGTTCCTGGGCATTTCTCTAGTATGATATCCATTTTCTGTTTGAACACGTGTTGTGACATAACAAGTCCGAATGGCATTCGTAGGAATCTGTATCTCCCAAAGGGGCTATGGAATGTTGTCAGCATGCTGCTCTCCTCATCAAGTTGTACGGACCAATATCCATTCTTTGCATCCATTTTTGAAAATATAGTAGATCCAGCAAATTTATGGGTAATCTCTTCTAGTGTTGGTGTTTTATGGTGACACCTTTTTATGGCTAGATCTCAAGTCTTTTGGGTCCAAACAGATCGTTAATCCACCACTTTGTTTGCCTGAATATACAAGGCTTGATACCCAGTCTGTTGGTTCTGTAACTCTTTTGATTACCCCTTGGTTTTCCATCTTTGTCAACTCTTCTTTGACTTCAGTTTTCAACTGAATTGGGCACTTTCTCGGCGAGTGAACTACTGGACTAACATCTGGATCTGTAACAATATGATATGTTCCGGGAATGTTGCCTATGGTATCAAATCTGTCTGGGTCAGGGGTCCGGAAAATTTAAAATCCCAATCGGACATTTACATTTATGCCACGCCCCCTTCAAACAGCGTATTTTAGTACGACTTTTTACACACAAATTACAACTTGTTACGTATTCATAATATGATGAATTATGAATTGTTTCAATTTAAATTGTTTAATTCACCGGACAATTAATAACAAATAATATCATTTTAGATATATATGGAAAACATACGTTTGTTTCTGTTATAATAACGATCTGTTAACGTTGTGAACGGTCTAATTAATATTCATGAGTCTGCTCAAGTGTACGCGTTGTAACATTTGGATCGAGACTATTATCCCATATTTGGTTATCACGTGACCTCACGGGAAAAGTTTTTTTTTAAACTAAAGATTATTTAAAAACAAGACAGATAATATAATCATAAATCCTAAACTATCGTTGATAGCAATAGTTATTTGAATACTTTTTCATCTGTACTTAATTATTGAAATTGGATATCGATCGTCACAGAAAGCAAAATGGCGGTCAATCAAGATTCAATATAGGACTAGCTACTGAAAACAATAAAATCTGCAAATCCTCATTGTATGTCAACCAAGTGAAAGTCGTTAGCCACGACTTACAAAATGATCATTCAGACTTTGAGGGTTTGGCAGATCCGCTCGACTGATCTGCATCGGTCAACTGGCTGTCGTCACGCTTTCGCTTCTTGTCTGAGGTTACGTATCGTAGCATTGTGAGGATAATGAGGTACATCGATGATGCAAGGTATTTATGTACAGTTGTAAACACATTTTACTCAAATTAACAAGATGTTCTCAGTAATTAATCCTCGATTAATCAGTGTCAACTCAGTTTATTGCCTATTACAGTGATTGACCGATTGGACTATCATTGTCGGTACGATGTATTTACAGCAATCAAAACAAACAAAGCTTGTCAGTGTAGATAATCTTCATTGTGTTACAACTGCAGACAGAA